AGAGTACAGAAACAGACCTACATATACATAGACAACTGCTGTTTTGGCAAAGGTCAAAAGGCAATTCAACTGAGAAAGAATAGTCTTTCAAAAAATGGTTTTGGAACAATTATATATCCATATGTGGGAAAATAAACTGATCTATACCTCATACCATATATCTAAATTAATTGAAAATGGATTGTAGACCTAAATGCAGAGCATAAAACTATAAAACTTCTGTAAGGAAATATAGAGAAAATCTTTTTGACAAACAATTTTTAGATATTATGCCAAAAGCATGATACAGCAAACAGAAAACTGGTAAATTATACTTCAGCAAAATTGAATATGCCTGCTCTTTTAAAGACACTGTTAAGAGAATAAATGAACAGGCCACAGACTGGAAGAAAATATTTACAAAGTATATATCTGCCAGAGAACATGTATCTCCCCCAAAAAACTATATTACATATTCTCAAAACTCAATATTAAGAAACAACCAACCCAATTTAAAAACAGGGAGATGATTTGAACAAATACTTCTCCAAAAATGAATACAGATAGCAAATAAGCACAGATAAGATACTCAACATCATTTGTTACTAGGGATATATAAATTAAAACCAGGACACTAACAGTACACACTTATTAGAATTAAAATTACAGTACTGACCATAGCAAGTGTCGCAAGGATGGAGAACAGCTAGAGGTTTCATACACTGGTAGTGAGAATGAAAAAATACTACAACTATGTTAAAAAACAATTTGGCAGCTTCCTAAAAATGTAAACATATACCTACCATATGATCCAGCCACTCCAGTTTTAGGTATTTACCCCAGAGAAATCAAAACCTATGTCCATACAAAGGCTCATATGCAGATGTTCATAGCAGCTTTATTTGTAATAGCCCCAAACTGGAAACAACTCAAATGCCCACCAACAGATGAATGAGTAAACAAATTGTGGTATAGTCATGCAATAAGATATTACTACTCAGCAGCGAAAACGAGTGAACTACATTCAATAACACATGCGACAACATGGATGAATCTCAGAATAATTGGGTTGAAGAAAAAAAGCCATAAACAGAATGATTAAAATACTATTTCAAATGGCTGTTTAATATTGTATCTTTGTATTTTGCAGTTTGTAATATTAAAGCTATAGATAGCCTTGAAACCTTCAAAATACTATGAAAACATTTCATTCATTTATCAAATTATTCCATTTTTATAAAATTGTAGAATATGTAAACCAGTGTATACAGAAAGCAGATTTTTGGATGCCTAGGGACTCATGATGGGGCAGGGGAATGGGAGGAATTACAAAAGGCATGAGGAAACTTGTGGGGTGATCATTATGTTCACTCTTTTGTTTGTAGTGATGGTTTTATGGGTGAATACATATGTCAAAACTTACCAAGTTGTACACTTTAAATATGTGCAGTTTATTATATGTCAATTATTCTTCAATTAAGCTGTTGCAAGGAAAAGAAGGCAGAGAATCAGGAGGAAGCAGAACAGGAGGAGGAGGTGGAGAGGAAGGAGGAAGAAGTTGATATATGCGTTTCGAGAAGAGGGGTTTGCTAGAAATATAAATTTGGTAGTAATCAATGTATAGATGATACTTCAAACCTTGGGAATGAATGAAATCACCTAGGACAGATTAGTCAGAAAAGAGAGGTGACCTAGGATACTGCCTTAAGAGAACACCAAAATGTAGAAGTTTAGGATGAAGCAGGTCATGGTAAACTGTTCAGTTTTTTTTTTTTTAGGTGGTTTAAATACAATATCAAGTGAAACATCTAATAATTTTGTTCACTACAGGCTGAACCAGTAGGACTACAGATCCATTCACAATAGTTTGTAACTTCACTATTTTCATGATTTTTCATACTTGTTTCTCTTCATAAGCTCAGGATATTTACAATTATTATTGATGCAAATTTATAGGAGTTGTCCTTTCCCCCACCCCATGTTAGTATTTATAAAAGTTCCATTCAAAATTCTCTATAATAATGAAAATATTTCTTGGATTTCTATGAAATATGCTAGCATATTCTGAAGATACAATGAGTTCTAACTTAACATTAAAATAACAGCACTATAGATGGCATATGTCATCAATAGAACATAAAATATTAAATATTCACAGAAATAAAGATGTGGAAATTTGTCATTTTAATTATTATTTATGAAACACGTGCCAGTACATCCTAAATTAACCTTGTGAGAGTTTAAAAGTGACTACAATTTTGTATTTAAGCTTAGTGTAAATTCTTTCAAGTGGCTAAATTAATTTTGTATGTTTATTTCTACTATGTCATCTTAAAGCTACAGCCCTGAAACCTTCTAAATAATACAGAAACATTTCAGATTAAATCCATGTATTTATATCAGAAATGGAATTCTCTTTTCAAAAACCAGAAAATCAAATGCATCTCTTGCCTCAATCTTCCTCCCTGCTCGGACTATGCACTCTGTCTCTTTCAGCTTCTCACCCAACACTTCGAGTCACTTTATACTCACTGGCTCCACATCCCATCCTTGCAGCCACGTCAGTCTTCTAAGACTGCTTTCTAAAAGGCCACCATGAATTGTCAGTGGCTAGCATCCCTAAACCCTGTTCTGTTTTCCAGCTACTTGAGCTTGCTGCAACAATGGATAATGCAGATGGCTCCATTCTTTTCACAATTCCCCCCTTTTTTTGTCATCTGAGATGCTACTTCTTTTTACTTTCCATATTATCTTTTTTCAGTTTCCGAGTTTTTCTTCTCAGTTTAAATTGTGAATTTGCATGGTTTTATTTTCTACTCCTTTTCTTCTCTAACTTCTTCCTGGACAGTCTTACCTCTATACATATTTTTAGCTCCCACCTCCTTAATTATTTGCATTTTCATGAAATAAAAACTATTTTTCCTCTTGGAGCCAAAGCAGCTTTGCCTACCTCAGTTTCTTCGCTAACTCCAACTGGACTTGGAAGACACAGGTCAACATAATATGGAATTCTTAACAGCTTAGAAGTCATATCTATTCAATGATAAACAAGTCTGTTAGCAAAACGTAAAACTTACTAAACAAAATGACAATCAGACGGTTGCTTCTAATTTTTGACAAATTTACTTGAGCGGTAGTTTTCAGGAAAACAAACAAATATATAAACTTGTAGTTGTCAGACAGTGGTTACTACATAAAAGTTGTGAGTAAAGGCATTAGAGAAAAAAATAAAGGAAAGGGTATGAACTCACTTTACCTGGAGCTGGGACTCATTTTACATTAATCTTATATTGAACATGCTCTTTAGCTGAAAGTAAACAAAAGTAAATTAAGGTAAAATTTGCAACCAAAGCATACTGCACTATGCTGAAACTTAGAGAAGCTCTGTTTGTAGTATTTGTGATGCTTCACTGTTGTAGATGAAACCGACTTAAAGTGCTGACACTGATTTATGAAATTTCCTGGACAAGGTCCAAGATGTTCCTATAGTGAGGTCCATCTTAGTGGTTAAGGAACCCAGAGATTTTGAAAAAGCTTTATTCCTGTAGATGCTGTTAATGGAAGACCATGTCTTATTTTCACAAAGCAACAATAACAAATTTATCTTAATTTTTAATGTACTCACTGAACAAATTTTTCATCTAAATCACAGTTTATGAGCAATAAAGCATGTAAAATTTGCATCTATGAGTTATTATATGTAGTCATTAAAATTAGCCTGTACCAAGTAATCAGCTTTTATTTCTTAGAAATATTTTCTTTGCATTTTCTAAATAAAATTTTAGTGCTTATATCTGTCATCATCTGAAATTTCATATAAACCTCAATTTTTACATTTCTATCAATATATTACATTCTTGCATTTGATTTAAAAAAATATGTGTGTGCTTATGGAGAAAGAGATAGAGATAAGGACAGAGAGAAAGAATACAAAAGAGAATGAGTTTAATAGATAATATATAAATTTAAAAATATTTATTCAAGTTAATTCTTATATAAGATAATTACTATGTGTATCATAAAATGAAATATTAGAAATTTTGCTACGCATAATAAATTTTAAATTATAAAATTTAAAATATGCTTATTTTAAAGATTTCCATATTCATGTATGAAAACATTAGTATACTGTTCATTATGTTTTCCATAGCATGCCTGTTTTTCTTGAGTTTTGTGATCATTTTTATATCTGAATCCTATGAAAACATTTTTCAAGCTCTCTAAATAAAAATTATTTTTATTACTATTCCTCTCTCAGCATTTTTTATTTATATAGTAACAGAAAACAGTATGATGTAGGATTTTTCTTCCCAGTGACTTTGCAAGCCAGGGACCTCTGGCTGACGACACCCTACCCGGGCCCCACTAGGCCACGCTGGTGTGTCCCAGCTCACTTGTGTTATAGCTTATACCCACATTCTGTGGTTCCCCAGCTCTTGTACTGCACCCAAGAAGAATGAGGATACGCTGGACACTGAAGGGTGAGGAGGACAGAGAAGAATTTGATTGAGCAATGAAACAGCTTTCAGTGGAGAGGGGATGTGGGGGTGGTCCCCCTACCCAAAGGCAGGAAATTTCCCCGTGTGACTTGGTCCAAGGCCTTTGATGGGTTGGGAATGGGGAATGCATACTAATTGGTTTGTGAGTATGCAAAAAAGGTTAAAGTGAAGATACCACTCAAAGGTGGGCAGGACAATGTAGAAAACCAATTAGGAAAGGGTAGGTATATGCAAAATAGGTGATGGGTGGGGATGAATCAGAGGAATGCACCAAATAGGAAGAGAAGTTCTCAACCCAGTCTGAGGATTTAATCTGTAGCTTGGCTATCAGGCTTTAAACTGTCTTTGACTTGGAGGTGTGGTTTAACCAAAAACACAGCCCTATCTGCCTAGGTATTTGGCTGCCTCCTGCCACTCTCAGTCAGTACATATATACATTTAAGAAATAAAGACATTGTATTTTGTATTATTTGATGGAGCTTACTAGAAATAAATTATATGCATTCAGTTTTAACATGAGAACAGAAAATTATAAATCTTAGTGGAGAGACTACAAGTATAGAGTAGGTAGGTCAATGACATTTATAAAGAACATTATCTTAAGCAACTGTCCATTAACAAGCTCCTGAGCATACTGCTTGGCAGACACATTTAAAATACAGAGAAGAGCCTGCTAAGATCTTCATTTCAATTACTCTGAAGTTTCTTGTGGGGTAACCTTGGATGTCCATGATGAAAGGCCGTTGTAGTTAGTATATTTTTTATAACTAATAAGATTGAAGTACATTATCTAGTTGAGTTTTAGGTTTCAAGAGTTTAAAAGGGGTAAAGATGTTAAACTTTGCTATGAAGCAAAACCCTGTAGTACTGGAGAGTCCTCTCTGTAGAAACCTGTCTTGTCAAAAGTTTTTGAGTTGATGTCTAATATCTATACTTACTTTTACCAGAACATAACTGAAAGTACTGTTGCATATTAATAGTGAAAGCAAGCTTCTCAGCTAATCAACAGATGCAAACTTCCCCCATGGTTCTAATAATGTGGGCTTTCAGAATTGTTTTATGATTCAAAAAGTCCAGGTCATTAATTTTGAAAAGGACACTGCAAAACATATACAAACAAAAAACATTTTGTGAAAGAGTTAAAGCAACAAAAGGAGAAAGCTCATCATGAGTCTGATGGACTGCTCTTTATGCAAAAAAGGTATTTGCACTTCTTTATTTATTTACATGTTTCCTTTGAGTTCTGTGGGTTCAGGTTCACATAATCAAAAAGACTTCTGTCCTAAACAAGTGATTGTCACAGCCCAGCATTTAACACAAAAGCAAACAATTACAAACTGCTACAATTTGTTGCTGTTTCATGATTTTTAAGCATGCATGTGAGAAAGCTAAAATTGTTACATCACATTAGTCTATCACTCCCAACTTCTCTGCACATTATATATATTGTTTGAGAAAAGAAAAGAATTTGGTTTTAAAAACGTGTTGATGGAAGAAACTGCTCAAAGAAAAGCTCAGAAAAATAGACTCTTCAGATTATTTTGCCCAACAGCAGGGCTTCAACATATTTTTTTTCCTCACTCAGAACAATTACTTTTTAAACTAATTTTCTAATATCCAAAATGGCTTATGACGTGAATTGATCCAGTTTCTTATTGTACTAGAATAATCTTTAATGTTCTTCACAAGTAATGCCATTGATGTTCATCTTTAAAACAGTAATAAGTTGGAAACCCTCTAAGGATATAAGTAACACACTTGTATATTGGCAAAACCTTTGTATCTTCTCAAATGAAAATCACTACAAAATCTTTATTTTGCCTCAGCTTGAGTTTAGAACTAACATTCCTAAATTATTTTATTTGAAGTGAGAATAGATAGGTGCCTGAATATTGCAATCCAATGTTAACAAAAAAAGTACACACCCCTCCAGCTCCTCCTTAGAGTTGGTGGAAAATACAACCAAATTAATGAATATAAAATTTCAAATGACTGAATGCCATGATAAAGGGGATATAATCTTACTCTAAAATATAGGGTTTCTCATCATTAATTATATTCTTAATTATCAAATGGAATATTTTGCCTCTGCCTTCTGGCATTTCTAAGACAGTGCCACTTTATTTGCAAAACATTTACTGTTTCTAACTTGAGAATGTTTCCATAACTTTCCATCGGGGGCTGTGCAGAGTTCTCTTAATGTATGTGGAGCACATTATCGTTGAATAAATATTGTTATTCTCCTAGTCACACTTCTCTGGCTCAGGAGTTTTATGGGCCCCAGTGAACCACAAAAGTCTAAATTGTCTAGAATCGATTTCATAGTTTTTCCTCAAAACCCACCAAAAGTGATCAGCAACAGTCGTAACAACATCAAGGACTCATTGCATAGGCAACACGGGCAAAACACATCAGTAAGAGACAAATGCCTTTTTTCAAGGAATGCAAAGAGGTTCTAAATAGTCGTCAAAGACAAGACAAGTTGACTGCGTGGAACCTGCATTTCAGCATGGAAGCACTGAGCACTAACATGGAATTCCAAAGGAGAGTAATTAAGGAAGGCCAAGGCAGCAACAATGGGTCAGAGTTTGACACTAAGTCACAGTGTGGGCGGCAAGGGAAGGAAGATATGACTGAAGTTGCTCTGAAGTGTATCTAGCAGAAGCAAGTGAAGATGTATCTCAAACTGGCAATCATTTTACATATTTCAGCCAACTTTGAGCCCTCTAGTCTCTGTTTCCATACCCTGTTCAACAAAATCACACTGCACAATTTCCCTCCAAAGCTAACGCTTACAACCTGGTGAATATCCTACGATATCCATCATTCTTATGCGATGATAGATGGATCAAATAAATGGATAGATAACGTATATATGTAGATCATTGCTCAGGGTCCTATTATACAAACTTTTCTGCATCTCCACTTCTTCCTTAATAATAAACTTTGAAACTCCCTGGATGACATAGATCTAATTCTATTCTTCTCAATGACTTAATCATGTTATTGATATGCCACAATTTATCTAACGATTCTCTTACCAAGGATATTATATTTGTTTATTTTTCCATTCATTTGCTACCACAAATTATTCGTGCAACAAGCCTTTACTTAATACCCTCTATGTGCCTGTTCAACTCTAGGAATAGAGTAATGAACAAAATAAAGTTCCCACTTTCATAAAGAATCCATTCTAGTGGAGGGGACAGGCACTAATTTAATATGTAACATAATGTTATATTTTTATGAAACTAAATAAGGGGATACAAAGTTACATGAAATTACTTACTACTTTGAAGGGGGTGGCCAGGGAAGAGCTCTCTGAGGAGGTATTTGATCAGAAACCTGAATGACTTGAGGGAGTAAGCCACGAGGCCTGTTAAGAGAGGAGCAATCCAGTCAGAAGGAACAGCAAAGCACCTGAGTTCTGAGGGAGAGCTACTCAGCGAGACTGGGAACACTTGTGAATGTCACTGCAGTAAATGCAGACTGACAGAAGGGCAGGAAAAGGGGTCAGACATATATCTTGCCCAAGGTCCAGGTGATGCTGTGCCTGATAGGCTGTAGAAGGAACTTCAGCAAATGCCACAATAAATAGCCATAGATATTGCTAGATTCATCTCCAAAAAGGCTATCAGAACTCACACTTCTATAAGCAATCTATAAACATAGGCAGTCAGGCACCAAAGTCTATGCAGCAGTTGTTTGTCAGCCATTTGAGTTTGCTTTTAAAAAACATGTATCTATAACTCGAAATAGTATTAGGAGAGTGAAATATCTGTATATAAAAGCTATACAAATGCAAATATTCTTGTTAGTTTATCACATATGTCAAACCAGAGAGCTCTGTATATTAGACCTACCAGTGGGAAACCAGACAGTTTCACAGTGAAAAAAAATCCTCCGGCTGAGAAAAATAAAAGAAAATTGTGGTATAATCTCTGGTTCAGTTTCCTATGGAGAAATAGTTGACAGGACTAGAACTGGGGACTCCAAATTGGCAGTGTCAACACAAAGCTATAGGACAGAATAAGTTGCTAAGAGGCCTAACATGTAACAACATGAGATAGAATTTTCTAGTTTGGAAGGAAATGGTCTTTTTAATATGCCAAAATGTTGACTTCCAACTATAATCATAATAAAGCAATTTATATCAATAAAAACACATAAAATGGTTAAAAATAAAAGCTAAAGGAGCTTGTTTTAGTCATTATTGTCCAATCTTTTCTTAAAACCTCTGGTTTCATCTTCTTTCACTGACATCTTATATTCTGTGAAGGAGGAAGTAGGGGGATGGAAATGGCTTTAAAGAAGCACAAAAGGCCTGAAGGTCAATAGGGAGGCAAATGCTCAAAGAATAAGAACCACAGATATCTAATAAAGTCTATGTTGCCTTTTCATGCAAAAGGCATGAGGAATGCTTAATCATCCAATATTTACAACGTAGGAAAAAGCTATTTCACATTGAAATTTGTAGCATTTTTGGATGATTATGAAACACTCATTTAAAATAGCTATGTATCCTGTATTTAGCAAAATAAGACTACAGGAAATCTTAGACATGACATTAATTCCCCAAAGTTTAAAAGTCCAGATGTGAAAAAAAAGCCAGAGAATGCCTGCTGTGTAATAAGGCCTATATCTCTTCGGAATCATAGATTTAATTAAGTTTTAATTTGCATATTGGATAAAAAGATAGACTTTTAGAATGAAACAAAGAGGGAAAAAGCCTTCTAAACAACAAAGCGTCAATAAAATTTTAGTTATATTCTCTAGCCATCATTTGGCTTTTAAAATTCTGATAACATTCCCTCAAAAAACAAAGCATTTCCTTTTGTCTAGACAACACAGCCTGCTTCTGTCTCAGATAGGCCACTTGGGAACCCAGGATCTGACTCATATCCCTCACACCATATATGATTCCATATAAAACAGGGCTATATGTCCCTTCCACGGCCGAAATAAGGATCCCCAAAAGGCGGTGCTTCCTATCATTCTTGGGCCAATGTTTTCACCAAGTTCTGTTCGAAAATGTATTTGTTCCTGTTTTCTTTGCACTTACCTTGTGAGGTCTCATTCCCATGACATCTGACAGTGGCTTTGGGTGTTGCCTAAAGAGAAAGCACAAGCAACAGTTACAGAGGTGGTTTCCTGTGGAGCAGGTAACTTAACATAGCTAAGTTCAGGTCATTCTCTGAATACTAAAACCGAGAAGTCAACAATAGTGTAATATCAGACAGCTAATGTTTCACTATACCCACACATGGAGTAGTAAAGAATTTAGGCTACTGAATTTTCTTTAACTACAGAGTTCTGCTTTTCAGAAAACATTTTTTTTTTCAACTTACAACGACTTTTATAACAGACTGCCTTTTTGAGACTGCCTTTTAAAGAAAGCCTTCTTTCTTTAAAATATGTTATCCAGGAACCATTATATGCATCCCATATAATGTACTGCTGATACATCTTAGAAATATCTTCAGGAAAGGGTCTTATATTTATTTGCATTCCTTACTGTACCAGTACAATGTGTTCCTAGGAGTTGAAAGTATGCATGCATATGGCATTTGCTTGTTTGTTCATTGATTCATTTATTCATTCAATGAATTTACTGAACATATATTGAGTTTTTTTGTGTGTGCCCTGAGGATATAAGCACAAATAAGACATAGTCTCTGCCCTCAATAAGTTCATAAAATCTTATGATTTTATGGGAAATCATAAGATGGGAAAGGAAAACTGGACAAATAATTATGAATATTATGTGAGAATTACAACAATAGGAATTTATACAGAATACACTGGACCCCAAGTGGGGAAATGGACATTCTAATTAGGGTAAAAGAGTTGATCAAAGGAGTTGATTCTTGAACTGTGGTAAAGAATATTGTGTAGTCATTTCTCATGCAAGGAAGTGCATTCCCAGCTGGCAGTCTAGCATATTCAAAGATCCAGAAGCACAAAACAATACAGCACTTTCTGGTAACTGCAGCTAGTTCTATATTGATAGACTGTAGAGGACTCTAAAAAGGAATAAGACAGATATCAGCAAAATGATTTTTAACATCAGGAGGCATTTCTTTCAGAGAACAAAAATAAATAACAAGTATATCCATGAAATACTTCTTCAGAAATATTTTGGTTAAAGATTGAACACTTTAAAGAACAATGTTAATTAAAAGTATTGAAATGCTTTCAATACTTTGGCTCATATCTGAAAAATACATAGATATTGCATATTTTCGCAATGGCAAATATTCAGACTAAGTGCTAACACATGAGGCTGAACTAGATTATAAAATACTAATCCCTTTTGAAGAAACTATGTTCACTTTATTTTTATGTATCAGAATGGCTTAGAGCCAATAGAAAATTACAGCCTGTATAATAGTGTCTGGCACAGAGTAGGCTCTCAACAAATAGGTGTTGATGGAAATACCACATTGAGGCAGCTTTTGGCAAACAAAGAAATGCTTTGGGCACCAACCCAGGCTCTCCAGCTTAAAACTGTTACTGCTCCTTCTGCAATTAGAGACTTTTTCCCTTGGGATTCATAGAGTTGCATTCATTATATCTCTTTTTGGTCTCTGCTCCTAACTAACCTTCCTCCTAGCTCACACATACCTAGAGATACCTGAAAATGTTTTCTCTAGGTATGTCTGGGCAGGTTTGAAGGATATAGCTATTATATCATTGGCCTTGGAGGCCAAAGAGGCACAAACCAAAGAGGCACAGTTGCAGTTGCCACTATTGGTGGCAATTCAAAATGCTCAAATCAAAAGGGGAAAAGCAAAAGATCCATGAATAACCACAATAAGAGAAGCAGAGCATCTCCTCCTTATTCTACCTTCTACCATTCGGGTGCATCTAGTTGGGGTAGAGGAGGTATAACAGGGAAAGAAGCGTAAAAGAGAGAAAAGGGTAACTAAAGAACAGGTATGCTTAGCAGAAGGGGATCGAAGGCAGCAACACAAAGTCCTGGGTCAGACCCAGATACCATTTCAAAATGCAAAATGTCCCTCAAGACTCACTGATTTCTCTACCTAGTGCATCACTTCCCAGTATGTCACCAACCACTCCGGCTTCCTTCTGGTCCTCTGAAAAGTTTTCTCCTTTTGGTTCTGCAGCTACTTCACTTCTCTATTTTCATCAAAAATGAATCCAAGGTCTTAGAAATTGTGTGCTGCGTGGCACTTTAGACACTAAATTCAAACCTTTTGTTTCACATTTCAAGAAACATTAGATAAGAGAAGTTGATCGTTTTATTCAAAATTGTATTTCTGGTATGTAAAAGAGATGAACCTCTGTATCCTGACAACTATTCCGTCCCCAAGTCCAAGGCCATTTTGACTATATCAGGCTATTTCTGCCTCTACTCAACTGGTTAGAAAATGATTGTGGCTTACTATAGGTTTCACACATGAAACCTGTACTTCTCCCTCTCATTGACTCTTTCCAATAAATCACCAGTTGGTATTCAGTTCTTTTTTTCCCACATTCTGTACTTTTGTTTCATTTTCATCCACACTTAATCAAATAGTTTAGATCCCAGCCTCAGTGATCCTGCCTTTCCACGGGTCGTCAGTCAATCTCAATTCTAATGTATAGCATTCTTTCCCTCTTCTGGTTTGTGTTAGCTCATCTGAATCATTTATTTTGCAAGCATGTATTTACTTTCTTAATTAAACTCTTGAATTGTTATTTGACTTTATCTTTTCACCAAAAAGATAATCTTCTTGAGGGCAAAAACCACATTTTATTTGTTTCTATATTTCCCCATCAACTGGGATCATGCACGAAGGAGAGAAATTCAAGAAATATTTGCACAATGAGTAGACTCTGGTAACAATGGATGCTTTAATGAAAGAAAGTTGTAATGAAAGATAAGCATTGCTTGTCACAGGGCCTTCAACTATAACTGTCTTGCTATATGGCTACCTTGTACCTTACTAACAAGTAAAATAGGCCAGTCAAAGGTGTGGATATTCTTTGGCCCTAACCCATGCTTATGAATTAAATGAAGAGGGAGGAGAAAGAGTTGTTATTCAGCTTGTTCAGTTTAGAACGATATGCGGAACTTAATCATATCTAAAATTCCATCCAGCTCCTAAATTCTAAGTGCTATGATCCACATTGATTGTCAGAATTTGGATCTCTTAGATTTGCAGTTTTCCAGTTGTCCTAGAAACCCATAGTAAATCTAAGTAAATAGCTTCATCCTTCAGTCCCTTACTTGATGAACCTTTGTCTTATTTCTGAGAAAATATGGGAGGATATGCTCTAATCTGTGGGTATTCAGTTTATTCATTTTATGTCAAGACCAGAGGTCTGAAACCAAATGTGTTGCAGAAAATTCATTTAAAATTCAGAATATTTTCCCTTATTAACAATATACTACATGGAGAATAGGACGTAAAATAGAATTAGTTCTATTGTTGAAGTACATTATGGGTAAAATAAATTTTACTAGTAAAACTGAGGAACTACTCATTTCATTTTTATGTATAGAAATTTGCATATAAAATTCTAGAATGCTGAATTACAAATTAATATTTGGAACAAAATCTGTTCATAATCTAGGGACATATCTGTTTATACACTACCTACATTTTATCTAGTGAAATCAATGTTCTTGAACTTATCTTTCTAAATAGAATGTGGTTATATATTTGCATGTGTTTACAGTCTCACCTTGATCAGTCCCATAAGAAGGAAGAAAGCTTGATTAGCATCAATTTGAAATTACTTTGCAAAATCTCTTTTACTTCATCAGGAAGAAATTGACCACCACAGAGCACTTACTACATGTTACTGCTCAACACAAATTTCACGTCTATATATGAATATTTTAAACCTTAAATCTTTAAACCAAGCTTGTCCTATGCACACCCAACACAAATTTGTAAACTTTCTTAAAACATTAGGAGATCTTTTCCTGCAATTTTTTTTAAGCTCATGGGCTATTGTTAGTGTATTTCATGTGTGGCCAAGACAATTCTTCTTCCAGGGTGGCGCAGGGAAGCCAAAAGATTGCACACTCCTGCTTTAAATCTTCCTTACAATTTGAGATTTAGTAATTTATATTCATTTTGAGTTGAAGCAAAACTTGATCACTTAGTTTGGTTCAATTTAAATTACCTCAGCTGAAAAAAAATAATACTACAGAGTACTGCAGAGGGTGTTTTTCTTTTTAAAAATAGTGTCTTGCTCTTATTTACAATTGCATCGTACCTAAAAAGATGGCTTGCATATGTCTTACAAACATCTCTCTATGTAGAAGTGTAGCAATAAAGATTTTATTTTAACAGACTTATTAACTACCAATTACATGTAGGAACGTGTACCAGTCTAATATCAAAGAACCAGTTGAGTTTGAAATAGATTTCCTCTGCTCTTGCTCAACCTTTATGACTTACTGGCGTGTATCTGATGTCTTTATCCACATCACTCAGAGGGAATCTCAGTCTTTGGAGCGAGATAGATATGGATTCAAATCCTGGCTCTGTCTCCTGTTAACGGGATGATTTTTGAACATGTTAATTTACCTCTCTAAGTCACAATGTCTTCATCTGTAGGATAAGGCCCGCCTCTGGGACTGATGGTCAGCCAGCACGCAGAGGTACTGACTGCCATGCTGGTTAACCAACAGTGAAACACTTTCATACATTGGTAAATAGCTGCTATGAAAGCCCACCAGTTCTCATGTCCCATTCTACACCAGAATCCTTTGACCTCCCTAAATTCAGGAACCAAAGCGTCAATGCTTCAACAAGTAATGAGGCTTCTGGGATTATACTCCAGTGCTGCTATCCTGACTGGTCAGTCCCCTTTCTACTGGTTGTTAAATATTTTTAAATTCCCTCTTACCTACCTCATAGAGGTTTTGTTGTTGGTTGTTTGTTGTTTTAGCACTTAGTGAGACAGCAATACCTAGGATTAGCAAGGATTTACTGTCTTATCTCTGCCCAATCTCATAAAGCTAGATTTGTCTGCTGTGGCTTATCAAGAAAATTCTCATGTGAAAATTCTCACAAGAAATTTCTCACGTGAAAAGGTCATAGAAGCTTTTTACACCCAAATTATTTCCTCCTTTCTTGCACTTATACTAAAG